ACAATCCACATCCTCACAATCATTAGAACCAAAAATATTGTTTCCCTTCTTGAGAATTTCTAATCAAGATTTGTTACGAATGTGTTAAAAATCTATATTTTGTCAGGTGTCATTTTGTATAGGCTACGCTTTTGATGCTGTTTGTAACAGTTATTAAGGAATATCACAATCGTCAATTTAATACAAAATTTGATTCCACACCCTTCTCTCAAGGTTAAGTCAATCAAAATTATAGGTGATCATAAATGCAGATTTCGACAAAATATATCAGATACTCTGTATTCGTCAGATACAAGTACTGAAAAAGGAAACATTGTTATAGAATGGAATAAGACATCAGATATCGTCGAAGCTAGCGGACGAATCTACTCTGTGTACTTGAGGTGGCGCGGTCAGTGCATTTCTTTTGTTTGGGCGTTCAGTCAGACAAGCTCCTCGGTGCAGTCAGCATTACACTATCGAACAAGTGACTCGCTCCTAGCCTTCCCCTGCGACCACTGTACCACGTGTCACATGATGACTCTCTACTAACGTGTAGGCCTATTTGTAAATAAACTCAGCTCAGATAAATTAAACTGAATTGAAAATCAGCTACATGCCCAATTTGAACGTATCTATAATATGATCCTTATAGGTAAAGGTCTGTGTGATGTATTTCATAATGAAAACGTTCTGAAAGACATACTTTATCGCAATTATTTTAAATTTCCTTTATTTTACTGGGGGATACTGGGAACGACCCGTTCTTCAAGTGCCTGAGCACTGCGGGTCCCAACTTTTCGTTGGCTTTGACGTATTAGACATTCGGTAGGACTCCTTGGACGAGGGATCGGCCCGTCGCAAGGCCTCTACCTGTACACAGGACAGCACAACACAGAAAAACATCCATGGCTTGAGTGGGATTCGAACCCACGGTCCCAGCGACCGCTGCGTACCCCCCTTTATAATATAAAGGTCCAAGGAATGTACTGGAACTGATCGGGAGACACCAGCTTCCGCTCTATGCTTATATTAATTTATTGGGCCAAATGTTAAATATGAAAAACAAAGAAATCTTGTAATTGCTAGTAAAGAAGTTGGTTTATACGTAAAAGCAAACAAAACTTAACAGGCTACGTGATCATTTGTCGTCACCAGAATGCATGGAAAAATATAGGACTTGGCCAAGTTCGAATGGATATTTGAGAACGACAATCACAAACGTTAGGTTGACAGTCCGTCCACACAACAATTTCTGATTACAGTTTTAATGCTTATCAAGAATAAACTACATGTTTCGACCTTAATCGGTCATCTTGATCTTTAAGTATTCGAACTAACGGATATGAATGCTAAAGTAAAAATCAAGATTGCATTACGGAAGAAGTTGAGACCAGATTAAATTAGAGAGGTCCAAGGTACCATCATTTTCTATTGTTTAATGTTACTAGGTGAGTTGGAAGTATAATATTAAAACAAATTTAAAGTGGTGTATTTTGTTGACTTATCAACCTGCTCAGGTTAAACTCATGGCGGGTTCTTCTAAACACGAAAATTAACCCTAACAATTTTTCTAAAAGGAAAGAGTTTGTTGAATAGCTGAGCGACCATTAGATACTTAAGAGGGATGAAAAATATCACTAAAATATAATAAATATCGGAAGTTGTTTCTAAAAATTATTTCATTTGCAGACATCGTCTGAAAACGTACTGATACAAAGCTAGAAATGTCAGTGGGGATAAGAGGGGATTTTTCCCACTAAAATATTTCTTACTGCATGCGTTAAAAAGTGTGCACGCTAGCCTTACCTCAACTGCACATTCAGCTCCATTACAGTCTGGACTCTTCGTTTTGAAACAGAGGCAATCAACATGTTCCGAGGCGTTGCACGAAGTGTCTTTTACACTAGATTCACTTCACATAACGACATTTCAAACCACACAGGATATAATACACAAAATGATACGTAATTATACACTATTTAACATTTACTTATTAACATTTTCGACACAAATATCACAGGTTATGAGAAACAAGTCATTTCACGGCAATGTCACTGTCTTAGCTAAGATTCTTGTTTGTCTACTTTCAATCGGGTAAATTCGGCGGACAGATCGGCAATTATCGGTGTATCCATACAATAAGGGACGATGAACAGAACAGCCATAGAGGAAGCAATACAGGAGAGGTCACACGTTATGCGCAAGCAGTGTTTAGCGCAAGAACCGTTCAGAAATTTACATTTCTGCCGAGGGAAGTAATTGAACAAGATTACTCCAAAATAAAATACCGGTACACATATTTTCCAAAAGCCGCTCTGATCATCGTATTGACGTAAACGTTTATTTATTGATTAAAAATGTAATAGCTTTACATAATACATTCAATCCGGAAAATACTTTTTTTTATTTACTTTACCAATCTTCATATCAACTAATTATTAAAACCAAAGTTCGAGATTCAGGCTTGTCATATATTATCTTCTTAGGTAACAAAATTTGTGAACAATAACCAGTTTCCTGTTTAAAAAAATTGATTTGAGCTTTATTAGTGAGCTTTAGATCTGAATACGTGTACAAAAATTCAATTTTACTGACAATTTTTACTGTAAACCCTAATCTGGAAAAGCAAGTCTCTGTGGAGGAAATTATTTACATTTCTTGTGTATATTTCGCACGAAATGCGTTGTATGAACGTATAATTCTAGGAAAGAAATCTGAAAATAGCTCCGACCTGACACAACGTTTAATAAATCATAATGATGGTTTAGAGTGACAAGGAAGTGCTCTCAGTGTTACTTCCTCGAGCTCTGAAGAGCTTCCTTCAAGGTGAGAAGCAGCTGACAGGTGCTGGAAAGGCATAGCTGACAGTAGATCAGTTTCCTGAGAATCGAGAGGAACGCGCCCATCACGGGATATGTAACAGCAGGAGAAACATAGACGAATACAAAATTTTGATTGGGAGAACTTGAGGAAAGGGCCATTTGGGACATCTGGGAGAAGATTGCAGAATAAAACTAAAACGCATATAATATAAAACGGTTTAGCTTGTATTAACTGGACTCGTCTAAAACCGTGTAGCTCTAATCAACTATCAGTATCTGACCAACCAGCTTCTATTACACTTATAACAGTACTGAACAATTCGTAGCGAACAGAGGCTTTTAATTGTATATTATATCATCAGTAACCCACGTTTATGCGGATTTGTCATAACAGTTTTGTACTGTCGTGGTAACTTTTACGGACTATAGGAATTGACATATCTTTACAGAAATTAAAATTTTAGGTTCAAAATTAAAAAGTTTGTATCTGTAAATCCAGAGCATTCATGTAAAATATTAACCATCGTATGGCCCAGATCAGGTATAAATGACAAAACTCTTGTAATTACGGTGATAAATTCTTCATAAAGGGAAATTTTATCACGTTTTTAACAGAACTGAATTCCATTCAGCCTACTGTTTAATGTCTGAGACCCCCACTGAGTAAATATTTCCTCTGGGATAAATTGGCCGGAGCGTGCAATTGACTACTCACTTTCCGTTTAGTTACGAGGTTTGTTGTGACAAATTTCATAGTGCAGCTGTACATATTGGCGTGATACTTTACGTTTAATGTACAAAGAAACAATTCCGACTGTACTGTATGTACTAATGATCTGTTTCTGCTTGTGACGTGAATTAGGTTGAACTTTCAAGTACATAATTTTAGTTTTTGCTCAAGATATATTTTTCATCCTGTTGAGTAGCATTATATGGTTGTAAGTCTAGTTTGTAGCGAATTCAATTTAAAATATTAGTACGCAATAATCTCATCATTTTACTACGTACTGATCTCTGAGCGGGACAGTTGTGCTCAGTTAAACTTGCCATTAGATAAAAGTTTGATGAAATAATAACACCTTAGGTTTATCGTTCACAATTTTATATACTATTTACACATTACATCACCAACATTTTATATTTACAGACAGTTTATATTTACAAAATATGAAATCATGCTTTAAAGTATCATTCTTTATTGATACCAACTTCACTCATTCGCGTTCATGGTACAGTAAAGTACAGGCTACTGTAGACCCACTCACACTTGCAGGCACTCCGTTAACACGTGCAGGAAGGATCCCCCTTGCAACGATAACTACGTCACAAATACACAAGTTCTTATGCGAAATATATACATATTTGCCTACACATAAATTTTACAGAATCATGTTTGGTTTTGTGACATTTTTCCTCCTATAAATTATTAAAAGTTACGAAGAAATTAATTCTGTACTTCTATAATTCTCTCTATTTGATTTTAATCAAGTTTGTGACAACAGTAATTCCAGAATTAAGAAAATAATTCATGTTCTCATGAGTAAGATGGCAATCAATCAATTCCTTAGACGAGGCAGTCACTTTAATATCAATTAAAATCAAATTCGAAGATGAGAAAACTGACTGACGAAAAACATAAATGCGTATCTGCTTAAAATTTCAAATAATTTTCAAACAATATAATCGACTCGTTTAATGCTCTGTATGTTTTACAGAATGATGCAAAATATCCATCCTGCTTCATGTTATTCTATAAAATATAGTTCACTTCAATAGAATTAGAATAATATGTTAGAAAATATACATATTAGAAAGTTTATCGAAACGTATCGGGATCACAGTGGTAATAACTACGTTATAATTTTATCTATGACAGACTTTATTTTTGTTGAAACAAAATATGATGTGACATTTTAGCTTACTTTCCTGTCTTATGGAAAGTACGTATGCTAATATGATCTCAATTAAGTATGTGTTCCAACCCTTTCAATTTTGAACCAATTCGCCGATTTACCGTTGGCAAAACGACATATGGCATATGAATCATAGAGTTCCTAAACTTTATATCTGCGACGTAAAGACATTTTTTTAATCTCCAGATAAGGTGAGAGGGCAAAAAGGTTGGTTGTGTGGCCACGGCAATCGCCGAGTTTCACTTCTGTGGAATAATCG